TCTCTCTCTCTCTATATCTCTCTTGCTATATATATATATATATATATATATAAACTATCAAATTTGAGCCCACCTGGAAATTTTAGTAATAGCTTTAAAAATTACTTTCTTCTTTAATTATAAAATTTAAAGCTTTAAAAATAGTGTGGATCAAGCATATCTATGAAAATCTTGAAAATTGATGGTAAAAAAATGTGTTATAAGATACACTATTTCCCAAACTTGAAATTCATTTTTTTCTCATGTGTATGTATCTTGATGTCGAGATGATCAATTTAATGATATTTGAGCATCAAAACAATCTCTACTAGTGAAATTTTTGAGGTAGGTTTTAATTTAATTGTTTTGAGTCTAGGCTCTATATAAACTTTTTTCATATATATATATATATATATATATATATATATATATATGGGATGAGGTTGATATAGGGTCTAGCTTTATGAAAATAAAATAAAACTTCATTTCAAATTTGCATCGAAAAGAACTTTCAGCATCGATGAATGGTCAGATTTTGACCATATAACAGTCTTTTTTCTCGTTAGTGTTATAACTCATACAAATGAAGTCTTAAATTCCATTTGAATCAGTTAAGTCTTCAAGAAAGAACCTTAAAAAAGTTCTTAAATAGCTCTTGTTATTTGTTGAGAAGCCCAAACAATTAGGGCACAATTGGTAATTTTACTTCAAAGAGGCCTTCACAAAATGTTATAGACGTCTTTGCTTGTTCAGGATTCGAAATACTGAACAACATGTTCGGTATTTGAAGTGAGGAAGGTATTGCCTTGCTGGCATAAAATATCCCTTATTGTTATTCATTTCAAATACTAAAGCAGGGATATTTGTACTTTTAATTTTGTATAAGCAGGAATATTTGTGTTATCTTATTAAGTCTTTTTTGAAGTTAAATTTGAAAGAAAGACCTAAATGATCTTTTATTGGAAAATACATTTTTTTTTTTCACCCTTTTCTTTTGGTAAAAAATCACTTACATGTCGTCTTTATTATAATAAGATAAATTTCAAAATAAAATCAACATAATAATAAAATCAAGATCTTAACAACTTGATGCCATTGAAACAACTATGCACTATGCTTGAGAATAAAAGATAAGATTGCAAAAAACAAAAAGAAGAGTGCCGGAGATTACCTTAACCGGGCTTATTACACCCTACATCGAGTCACCACTATCCGATGGCGCGGGATCAACGGTCTAGCTTTAATTTCGAACCAGAAAAAATTTCGGCCAAGCCACACCAATGGAATATGAATCTCTTTGATCACAAACTCAAACCCTAGGTGAATTCTCTTAGCAACCTAGTTTGAGAGAAATGGATTTTCTTTTTGCTAAACCCTAAAACCCTTATCCATAAATCCATATTTGAGAGATAGGGGAGAGAAAAACTTCATAACCTAAACCCTTTAGGTTCTTTCACAATGTGGGAGAGAGAAAAAGATAACGTGTAAAGATTTTGGATAGAGATAATATCTTTTTTATAGGCTTGAAAATGATTAGCGCTTTTTAGTGTTTTCCTTGGCTTGCCTCTTGTGAGATTGAACATAGACTGTTGATCAAGGGTGACTTGTGGGGTGAGAGATTTAAGCCATCCATTTCATAGATAGGTCATCAACATTATGGAAAGTGCATAGACCATTATCCCCATTTTCTTAACCATTTTTCTATCAATAAAAATTACATAAATTAAATCTAATTAAAATATTATGCATTCCATAATCTTTCACAAAATATTTCAAAGATATATCAAGTCAATATACACTTTCAATATTTGATCAATATATGGTCAAAATATTCCATATCTTATTTGACCACTTGTCATAACATAATATTACCAAAACATGAAATAACCTAAACTCCAAGAAAGAATCCAATGGGTGGGGCGTGCCACCCATGTGTGGCACATGCGAACCCCACCCACTTGACACATGGTGGCCCCATGTGCACTATGGGCCTCTCCATGATATTTTATATAATTTTAAATTATAAAAAAATACTAAAACATTATTTGAATTTTATAATTTTGTAAAATCAATATCTTCATTTTTATAAGTAAAAAAAATATAAATAAAATATCAAATGACTCATAAAAATTCAAATAATAATTCTAAAATAATTTCTATTATAAAATAAACATAATTAAATTAACTTGATGGGAAATTGATCCATATGGTTAAAGAATTTAATCTGCAATCATGGGGCACTCTACCTTCAACTGTGGATTACATACCACACTTGTCTTATCGAACCGACTCAGTGTTTCCCATGACCCACAGTCCAAGCAAGGGCTCATTAGCGGGTCACCAAAGTCTGACGGTTGAGCCAAGGGGTCGCAATCCCACTCTGTGGATTATAGGTCCTCCCCTAGAGACAAGTCAAAGTCACCAAGACCTTATGCAACCACAACTCTATGGCGCATAAAGGTATCTCTCGCACATGCATACGCTTCACCCTAAAAAGTGGATTTCTGGCTTTATCGAACGATCTATCGATATGCATGCCATGTGATGGTATTGGATAAGGTTTTGGCCCTTGTCTCTGTAGGCTACCATCACACACAATGGTCGCACAATCCCTCGGCTCATTCATCCGGGTATGTTCTCCTACCTCATCAAGGGCTAACCCATAAACCCTCATCGGTTTGTTCTTCATGCCCAATTAACATGGGTTTTTCCAAACCGACTGGCCTAGATCGTTAAGCACAGATCAGTATCAGCAAACCATCGTTTATTTAGTATAGTCCACGAGGGACCACATTCCCACTGAGTTCATGTTCCACTATGTCATTTCATTTTACAAGCATTCATAAGGCATTTAAAGGCCACATAAACCCAACAAAATTACCAAAATATACCTAATTATTTGGGTTTCTCAATACCAATTGGGGATAATTTAAGAATTCTTTTTTTGTTAGGACATATCTCTTTGAGATAAAAATTTTAAAGCAAACTCTGAAATATAATTTGTGAACATCGGGCACTTTTAGTGATTTTGTAAGGGGTTTTACCCCTTAATTGATAATTTTGCCCTTTATCTTTGGTTTGTTTTGATGAGGCATGGCTAACCCCAAATTTCAGGCTAAAGAGACTTGTAGAAAAATAACAAAAAAATTAAAGATTGCCTACCAATGCTGATCATTGGATCATCAAAATTGAATTTTCGGGCTATCTACACCGGATCTCGAGCTTTACTTAGTGGCTCCACATAAATATTTGAATTTCACAATTATCGCAAGGAGCAGTTATAATTAAAATGTGTCCATGGTGCAAAATAAAGCCCTGCTGGACAGACTCCTATCTCAACATGCAATGAAAAAAGATCACCAGCGATCCAAATCTGAGTTTAATTTCAGAAAATGTGAAGTTGGAGAGAGGGGGACATGAAGAGGGTGGGAGGCTTGGTATACAGATGACGCATTTGAATTTGAAAGACATGGTTTTGGAAAACTGCATCTTCCAGATAATTTTAACGTTAAAAATAACATAAGTGGATACTTTAATACCAAATTCATGCAAAAGCAAAGATTGTAAATCCCAAACAATATCTTCCAAAACCATATCTAAAATTTTGGGAACCACTAAATAATTTCAAGATGGTTATTCTAAAAAGAAAAAAATTTATATAAGGTTGCAACCTTAAATGTAGAATTAGAGATGGACCTCAAAAATCCATCGTAGAAAGTTGTTTTAACATTGAAAAACCCTCTAATTGATCATTTCGACCTTCTAAATTGTTTTTATTGAAGTTAATCTCTAGGTTGAAAAGGTTGCATCCTCAAAATTTTCAGGTCTTGAAATTAACTCTTACTGGGGTTTAACCCGAGGCAGTAAATGGTCATTCTAACTAGAGTAGAATGTCTTTTGGCTGTAAAATAAAATAAAAATAAAAATCGCAAGCTGTAAAATATTGTGAAACATTTTTTAATTCAGAAAAAATATAAGAGATATTTACAAATATTTGTCTATATTTTAAAGGATGTGATTTGTATAAAGTCGCAACCTTAAACAAACAAATTAAGGCGCTCATCCAAATTGCATCATAAATGTAATTTTGGGGTAAAAAATTATTAGGATGACCTGAAAATCTATTTTGATATTTAATTATAAAATTTGAAATTCAAATCAAATAGATTTATAACCACATGACAATTTTGAAAATGGATAGTTTAGAATATGTTTTATAATATACATTATTTTTGGGACTCAAAATCTTTTTGTCTTTTCATATTCATACATCTTAATATTGAGATGATCAGTCAAAGGGTTTTCCAACATCAAAGCAACCTTTTATGATGAATTTTTAAAGTACACCTTAGTTCTACATTTTAAAGTTGCAAACTTATATAAACCTTTTCCTATTTTACATTCTGTAAAATTCCAAATTCTTAGTCTTTTAACTTAATTGAGAAACATCTATGCGTCTAACCAAACTGGGCAGTCGCAATATTAGATTTCACTATTGAAGAAATTAGCGAGAATTGTGGAACTCAAATACAACATTAGGATAACAAAGACCGGACCTGAGGGTCTGGTCTCTCTCCTTTTCCCCAATCTAAAAAGAGCGCGCATAGATGTATACTATAGTCCTGTGCGAGTATAAGATATATTTATTCCTTTGGCAGACTTATTTTGGAAAAAAAATAAAAATTTGGTGCAAGATTTTGTGAAATATATTTTGTTACATGAAAAAAATAAATTTTGAGTTTTTTAATCTCACCCTTTGAAATATTAAACAGTCTTTATTGGCATATTTTCCAAGCCCATAGGGACTGCAATTTGTAAAAAATTTTATTAAGTTTAACATGTAGGTTAAAAAAAATGTGGGTCCCAAAAATATTCGGGTTTTACTCAAGATAGTAAATAGACAGTGTACTCCTTCGGGTGCATGCATCCAGAACAGTATGGTGACTCAGACTTCTTTAGGGATATGTTTGTCATTTTGATAGAACTTAGGCACATATTTAGGTAAATCACGCCTTATTATTACAAATCGAAGCGGGCTTCAGTGTTCACAGAGCAGTGATGCAGAGCTTGAGAAGAACCGCTTTTCGTCGCAGCTGCCCTTACCAGGTTAATTATTTCCCATTTATTTGCTCTACTAAAATTCCTTATTTCTATCCATTTTAATCTAAAACTTTAGGTTTTTGTAACTACAATTGTTTGTGCCCGTTTTACTGTGAAAGTCATTTGAATTCTTTGGGTCTTTAAATTTGGTCATTCATGTCGATTTTTCTCTGGGCCTCTTTCCCTTTTCCTTTTTTTTTTTTTTTTTTTTTGAAAATTTCGGTTTCCTTGTTTAGGTATTTTTTACTCTCTGAAATTATTGTAAAGCCTTTTGGGTCTTCTTCTAAATTCCATTACCATTTTACGGTGAAGCTCATGTTAGTCAGGGATATCTGAAATAAGAGGTTTCATTTCTAGGCCATTGTTTTTACTGATGCATTATCTGTTTAGTGGGGCACTGATAGTAATGGTTGTTTGATACTCTGAAATTATAGTAATGGGAATGAATGGTGTAATTCTTCAGGGGCATATTCTTTGGAGTTTAACACTTTTGCATGATGTTTAGGCTTGTATCTATGGAAAATGTGGGAAAGTTGGAGTTTTGGCCTGTGAACCTTTTTTCTCAAATGTCTTTTGCATTTGAGATGGAGAAAATATGTTCGTTTTATTTATTATGGTATTGGTTTTCATAGCGCAGAGCAAATGAAGAGGTTTTACAGGCCTATGGTTTTCATATATTAAATTTCTCTATTTTCATGTCTGTTTCTTTACTTTTTTAAGGCTTCCACTCATTGCATGTATAGAAGCGTGCATCTCTTGTTTGATAGACCCCTTTTCAAAAAAGGGTTTGTATACTATAAAGTCATTCACTTTTAGTGCAAGGAGGTCACAATCATCCTTAGCCATCTGAAATCCAACAGTTTGGATGTGTCACACAATTCAAGAAATTTTATTTTAAGTTTTGTGCTCAATCAGTTGTATTACCCCAGCCACCAGATTTCACATCTAATAATTGATAGTGATTGTGATCTTCTTGTGCTAAAAATAAATGGATTTATTGTATACTTTTCTTTCGAAAAGCTTAGTGTTTGGACTGGTGCTCATTTAAAATCTAGGCTAACATGAACAACCTTAGTTTGAAAATTGCCACTCTTTTTAATTGCAAGATCTTGCTAATTTTGACAGTGAACCTCTTATGTAAGCACAATTTTCACTTGCTCTCGGTTTCACAATTTACACTTGCTCTCGGTTTTAGGCAATATGCCTATGCATAGGCAACACCTGTGCATATGTTGAAAGAATTTAAAAAATGTGTTTGGCAATTCACATGACATTTTGCTTTTATGTTTTGCCTTTTGCAGCAATTTCTCTTTGGGTATTGATATACAACGATATGAGAAAAGCTCAAGGAACCCTCAATTCAATGAGCATATGGGTGGGATCTTTTGAATACATTTACGAATAGATTAAGGGGTGTGTAAGCCTGGACTCAGGCCAACCTAAGCAGGCCATAGGGCTGGGCAGATCATGGCCCAGCATGCAGCCCAGGCTGGGCAGTTCTGGGCCCAGACCGGGCCAACCGCTATAAAGGAATGGGGCCTGTCATCGGTGTTGGCCTGCAGGGCCGTGCCTGCCCCAAGCCAGCCTGTTATCAAGCCTAGTTGCTGATTGTTGTTGTTTATGGATTCAGTAGAGTAGAAATTTGAGAAGTGCTATAAAGGGAGATCAAATTTTGAGCTATAACTTCTTCCATTGTGTCATGGTGGCATATTCAATACTATCTGACTCCCTCATGAGAAACATGACAGCAGTAGAATGAATAAATTGATGCTTCATCTTTTTGAGCTCAGTAATTGGTGTATGTCGATTGATTAGATTCTGGTGCTTTCTTTAAATGGAAGTGACACTATGTCAAAGTATTGCATTATTCGTTTGTTTACTTTAATTTGTGAATTTCCTATTAATTGTGGAACGGCATTCTTCTGAGTGATAAATATATTAATCACTGAAAGTATGATGTCTTTGTGTCTTCTTTTCGAGTTTGGTTATTTACTTAGGTGTACTTGTATCCTGGTTACTCCTATTGGAATTATTGACTGGAAATTCACCCCTCCATAGTTGTCCATAGTGGACTTTTGTTCAGAAAGCATTATCTTATCTTCATATGTTCTTTCTAGGGAGTAACAAAAATCAGTGGCTCTTTGCTTGAAAGTATTGGCTGGTGCGCTTATTCTTCAAGGATTACTTATGATGCTGGTCAGCCGACAGCCCTATCTCATCCTCAGGTACTGCTTTTTAAACCAAAGATCCCCCAACAGTAACTGACGAAGATTTTTTTTTTTTTTCCCGTTTTTGGAACTTTCACATGGTATATAAGGAATAAAAGATGCTTATCAATAGCTTGTTGCTCTGTAATATATTATTCAAGTAGATGTCCATTTATTGCTCTGAATTTGAACTTCAATTAAAAATTAGCAAATCAAGCAGTTGATTTCCTCTTTTAAGTCAAAATCTCAAGCTGAATGTTGGGTTTCCATTCTGTTAGCTAGAATGAGTCATCAGTGGTGGGATTCACACTTAAACCAACAAAAGGTTACTTGATGAAGAAAAAAAAAAAAGGAAAAAAAATGAAAGGGAAATATGGTGTTTCCCCCATCTTTTTTGTTGTTGACCATTCGGTTTGTTGTTTCTTTCTCTATCTCTCCCTTTTCTTGCAGTTACTTCAGGTTGGGGAAATCACACCAGGGATCGCAGAGGACGAGTATATCTCAAGAAGGAAAAGATTGTTGGAAATGCTTCCCGAAAATAGCTTAGCAATAGTGGCTTCTGCCCCTGTGAAAATGATGACTGATGTTGTGCCCTACCCATTTAGACAGGATGCTAATTACCTCTATATTACTGGTTGCCAGCAACCTGGAGGAATAGCTGTACTTAGTAAAGATTGTGGGTTATGCATGTTTATGCCAGATCCTGATCCTCATGTAAGTAAGAAAGCTTTTATGTTCCTCCTTTTTGTGTAAGTGTACCATTCACCACCAGTGTAATGTACATGGTACAGCATAGGGTCATCCACTTTCCTATTCCTGATGATGGATGATGGAGATTGACTGTATCTTCTGATGATGGACATTTAGCCAATTATGGTTAATCTTGATTGCCCTTCATTTGGTTGTATGCTACACCACTAGGGCATTCCGCCATCCATTCCTAATAATGGACGCTGGAAATTTATGGTAGTTCCAATGGTGGAAATTTGCTGCAATATGGTTAATAATCTTTATGGTCCATTATCAGGAACAGATTATGGTTGTCTTCTTTCGTGTGCCATGTAACATATAGCAGTGGTATACCAATGGATTAATCATTCACATGTATTGAATGTTTTTGAGTCCATGTGAAGAACCTTTGACACGCCAACAGCAAGGCATGGAGGCTATGGCTCAAAATAGCCCAGCTACGGAGGTTTTCGCTGGCTTTATAAGGGCTTTTCTTTCTCCAGCATGGAATGCAACCGAGAGGCAGCAAGGAACCTTCCATGAGCGAGATGCTAAACGCGGAGGATCCTTGAGTTGCTAAGAAATGGGAGGGAACCAATGGACACCCTTGTGTTGTTCGGTATTTATAAAAGAAATGGATATCAAAATTAGAGAGGAAGTAGAAAGTGACTCATTTGTAGACATCATGAATGAGCATGTTCATATGCATATGTATGTCATTCAGCATGCATGGGCATGTTCTGTTTTGTTGTGCCTGCATGGATGTATAGGAACACATGTGGCAGGCAAATGGGTTTGTGGTTACATTTCTGTATGGTCAACTGAGGTTATGCCTTCATGTGTATGTTATAGTATTCATGCATCATAGATGTACCTATGACTATGCCTATGCATGGATACATAGAATCTTGCTCCCACAGCTGGTTGTTTAATCATTGTTTGAATAAACTTACATTTATTTGTCTAACAAATCTTAAAATCCTAAATTTCTGATTCAATCATTTGGTGTTGATTTATCGTCTTGTTTCACCTTTTGTTGTAGATGGGAAACATTTCTCTCCCCATGTGTGTTTATGTTTGTGTGTGTGTGTGGATAGATAGGTTGCTCTCCATAGGGTACTTTCATCTTGTAGTGTTGAGGTTCATTATGTTCCATCTCTTTGAGAACAGATTCTGTTTTCCTGTAGGATGTCATTTGGCAGGGTGAGATAGCAGGAGTTGAAGTCGCTATGGATGTATTCAAGGCTGAGAAGGCTTTTCCATTACACAAAATGCATGAGGTTGGCAGATGCTTCTGATGCCCTCCCTGGGGGCCTTTGTAGTTGTTAAAAATGAATCTACATAAACATGAGTATCTTTCATGTTTCGATCCTAGATACGTTTTGCTATACTTGACCAAGTATATTTCAAAGCATGTATACTTCAAGCTTCTTCAAAATATAACTTTGTTTCACTTTTGATAAATTGGTGATCATATAACCTGCTTGAAAGGATATGCTGTGGTTACTGCACATATTCTATCTTATATTCAATGCAAAATATTCCTTGTGTTTGCATACTAGTCCTGGAATAAGTCAGGGAATCTTAAGAGCATTGGGCTTGTTGGCTGTTAATTTTTTATTAACTGTTGTTTTTAAGTTGTTCCTTAAGTTATAGGCTTCATATTCTGTTTATGTTTCATATTAATATTATTTGTGAATAGAAAATACATTCATATTATATTTGTCTTGGTATTGCATGAACTTCTTTTTCTCTAATTTGCTGAGAATATGTTTTTCCTTAACTCATTGAAATTGTTAAAGGATGAGGTTTCTATAGGGTCCAGGCCAATGTAGGAAAAATCAAACTAGAACGGTTTACTGGACATGGGGCCAGAAGCGGTTCAACCGGCCTAACCGGACAAGTCCTGGGTGGTCAAAAAAGTGTAAAAAAAAAATATAAAAATTCTAATAAAATATAAAAAATATATTTAAAGCATGATTAAATAAAGCACATCCTGATGAAGTTGAAAATTAATGAAAAAATAGATTTTAAATAATCAATTTGTGCCCAGGGGTATTTTTGATATTTTCTAAAAAAAGGAAAATTGTAAAAATAAATATTAGTGGCCAAAACAATTTCCAATATTTTCCAAAATGATGAAAAACATTAAAAAATACATCCCAAACAAAATCCCTTATTTTTTGGGATTTTACATATATTTTTTGAAAAATTTTAAAATACCAGGCTGGTTCACCAAAATTAGCCTATTTACGCTGGTCCGGGCTCTATGAATACAAAATAAAGCCTCACCTCAAATCCTTGTTTGGAAAGCACTTACAGTAATGAAAATCTCTATGATGGCTCTAAAATCAATTTCCAATACCAAAAAATAGAATTTGAAACTAAAAAAGATATACAGATTTTATGGATCTATGAACACTTATTTTTAGGAAATGGACGGCCTAGATAATTTTTTGCAATATACACTATTTCTAGAGCTTTAATCCCCCTTTTTTTTTTTTTCATAAACATAATGTTCAAGCCGAGATGATCAATGTAAATGTTTTTCAATGCTTGAACTGCAATTTTCAATGAATATGAGATGAGGCTTGACCTAGTGTGATAGGGGTGCAGCCCTATCAAACCATTTTCCATTGTTAAAATGGGATTTTCCTGTAAATTTCCCGTTGATCTTTTTGAACAATTAGATGGGTTAAGCAGGCCTCCAGATGTCTTGCAACCTTTTACTCATGTATATTTATTGGAAAAAGTTTATATAAGGTTGCAACCTTAAAATGTGGAATTACAAATGCACCTCAAAAATCCATTGGAAAATGTTGTTTTAATGATGGAAAAACCTCTAATTGATCATCTCAATGAGTCCCAGAAATAGTAAATCTTGCAATACATTATCTAGACCGTCTATTTTCAAGTTTTTCATATGTTTATATATCTACTTGATTTTAACCATTTTTGGAGTTTAAAAATTTATAATGAGATATAAAAAATGATTTTGAAATAATTCTAAGAATTGTTTTTCCCCAAACTTACATGTTATGATAAAATTTGGTGGTAGGCCTTAATTGGATTGTTTAAGGTTGCAACCTTATAGAAACCACACCCATATTTATTTGATTCAAGAATATTTTTATTGGAATGTTACTGATTTTCAAGGCTTTAAAAGGTCCAACATTTGCCTGCTGGCCTTGTAGGTATCACTATTGTCTAAAGTTATCAACTACTTTATTATTAGCTAACAATACGAGGTGATTGATGATCATTCCTAACTTACCTTCACAAATAGTTTTTTAATTTGGGATAGTTTTCATTCTGTCTTCTGATCTTTTAAATTTTTCATATGGCATAGTTATGGAATATGTGCACTTTCTACTGGCTGTTTTCCAAGGCGTATGTGAATGATCTAATTTATTATAATTGATGTTTCTTTGAATGCTTTATTTGCAGGTTCTTCCCGATATGATAGGAAGGGCAAGCAAACTGTTTCATAATACGAAGACAGCATTGCCAGCTTATGTAGGTTTGGAAGCCTTCACTAGAGCAGCAAATGACGGGAAAGTGGATGATCTATCCAAATATACTGATGAAGTTCGCTGGATAAAGTCTCCTTCTGAACTTAAGTTGATGAGAGAATCAGCATCAATTGCTTGCCAGGTAAATCTTACATCTGAAGTGAATTATTTCTATTCTCATAGTTTGTGTGTCGAAAGAACATTTCAAAAAAAAATTGAGAAAGTTGAAATGTTGAGAGATCTGATTTTGAATTGACATGGGATACATATTAAATCAAATTTGTATTGTATCTTTTAGATGCTTGTGAAACACCCAATTTACAAAAAACCTCCATGTTAGCGGTGGCGATTATATTTTGTTGTGATTACAAATTTACAATTGAGAGAGTTATGTTGTTTCCAAATAATTCCTTTTTGGCACAAAATTTCAATGTCTCCTGCTTCGCATGGCATTATGGGAAACCCTTTAGATTTTGCAAATTTAAGTTGTCAAAGGATAGCAATCCCTTAAATTCTGAAAAGCCACTCTACAAGGTATTGAAGGTGTCTTTGATGATGTTCATCACCAATTGAGAGTCAATGTATTCTTGCATGGTAACTTGAGTCTAATAGACTTCGTAAAAAGAGATTTCAAGAGTTCTTTTCTGAATTTGACAACCATTTTCCATTTCCACAACCAAATGAGCCTCACTTTACCAACCAAATATGTGATGGCCCTCCATTATCGACATAAAAAACCACGTTCTGCCTAGCTGGCTTTGAAAACGGATATACAATATAGAGGGTAATTGGCAAGAAAAGGGTAGTCTATCTAATTGGCGCACATTTGCTTCCCATTGGGCCAGTTTGTCACTTGTTCTTTCCATGTCCCATTCTCATGATTTATGTTTGGCAATTTGAAACACAAATGCAGCGAAAACTGGTGTTTATCAAGCAGGAAGCTTTTCATCTATTCACAACATTTAGCATTAAGCTCCATTCTTTTTTTTCCTCTAAGGTTTGTCTTTTACCAGGAATTTCCTCAAAAAACCTTGATACAATCTTAACGGCCAAGACTTGATCACTGATGGGTTTACAAAGGTTCCATCTGCAAATTGAAGTTGGAAGACCTTCCCAATCCCCCTTCTCCAAGGGAAAATGCGTATTATGATCAGTTGACCACCCTGAAGTTGGCTCCAGATTCTAATCATGATTGTGAAAAGAAAGGTCTCCTTTAAATATGGCAATGATTATATAATCTTGTGGCTCAAGATGAATGTTACTTGAAAAATAAATCCTTGACCATTTCCTCCTTAAACCTATCTTTTCCACCATATAGCAAAAAATTCCCAATCTAGTTGTATGCCTTTTCTAATTAGGATATAAAGGAGAATGAATCCATTTTAATAAGTGCTGTTGGAATTTTATGCGGAAGAGAAATTCCCTTATGTTTCTCTTTTAAATTAAGTTCTGGATCGTCATGACAGTTACAGTCTCACTCACATAGTCGTAGCCAGTGATAACCAAAACACTTTTGACTACCCTACTTGCCTTCCACCCTCAATCAAGTGGAGCTCAAGTTGAATTATCTCTTTTGAAGATGAACCATGATCACTGTCTACTGCTTTGGATAGCTTCTTGTACTAGTGTCAGCTAGTTGGTGCTTTTTTTTTATGGTTAGGTAATACATTATATTTTCCCTGGATGATTGCTATATTTAATATAAATAATGATTTGATGATGTGTAGAGATGTGATATTATCTGATCAATGCATATTTCATTGAAAATATTGTATCCCAACATTTTAATGCATCATGCATGCACTCATTGATGGTTATTTTGGTTCAATATGCGCCTTCTAAGGTACAATCTAGTTATTTTGTGCTCCTACCTAGGCTTGAGTTTTCCACATGTTGTTGGGGTTTCTTGATTTGTCAGCTTATATAGCTGGACTACTTTGCTAGTCAATCACTGTTTTCTCAGCTGGCAGCAAATCCTGTCTTTTTCCTTTGTATTGGTACTTTTGTAATTCTTTTCTTGGACAGGCACTTCTACAAACAATGTTGGTTTCAAAGACATTGCCTGATGAAAGTATGTTATCTGCCATGGTTGAATACGAATGCAGAAGGAGAGGTGCCCAACGAATGGCGTAAGAATTTTGTCTCTCTCAGAGAGCTTAGGGCTCACAGTTACCGCACCAATATGACTATTTTGACTCAATTCTTTTGTGATTGGCTAGGTTCAATCCTGTGGTTGGTGGGGGGGCAAATGGTAGTGTTATTCACTATGCTCGAAATGATCAAAGAGTATGACAATCAACTAGCTGGTTATGCCTCTAAAACGTTTTCTTTTCAACTAAATTGACGAATTGAACGATGCCATCAAAAGTTGACTGAATTATTTAACAGATCAAACATGGGGACCTTGTATTGATGGACATCGGATGCGAGTTGCATGGTTACCTCAGTGACGTAACTCGAACCTGGCCACCATATGGTAGTTTTTCTTCTGCTCAAGTAAGCAACTTTCTTCTTCTCAACTTCTCATCAGTTTCATTATTCGTTGGATAAGTTTCTTCAATTTTATTTTTTATTTTTTAGTATTTAAAAACCATGACTCAGGTTGGGACTTGTTAGGGTCCCCAGCCTGAGTCATCCTATTTGACCCAGCCAAAAGAATAAGACTTGGCTGAGTCTTCAAAAAAAATTAATAAAGAAACTCAGACTCGGGTAACTCTGATTTAAGATTTACAAAGAAAGTCAAAATGCGTTGAGACTTGGGGTCCTTAAGTTTTCCCTTTGGGCTTGCTAGGGTCACAATCTGAGTTGAGTTAGGCGATTCTCAAGTTGGCTCGGTGATTTTTTAAACCCTTTTTTTTCTGTCAATTTTCCACCTTTCAGCATGCTCATGTCTTGCCTCAAAAGGACAGATTGATTGGTAGAAAACCACATTGCAAATCCCCACACTTATGAGCTCAGGCCACACCTATTACACAATCATTTTATGCGCATAATGCTTTTTTGATTGCACGGCATTGTGATATATTATACTTCCATTGTTTGTTTTTGATATCACTGAATGGTGGCAGAAATAATGTATGATGTTTTTAATTTATCAGTTTCCCTGTTTGAGTCACATTCCTTTTGTTTACCCACAAGAAATTATTGCTTATCAAACAGCTAGCTATGATGTCAAAACCCAAGTCGCAAAAATGTGAAGTTTCCAACTTATTGTCATATTCAGGAGATTGGAAATTTAAAACTTCTTAATTCGTAGAGAATATGAATGGAAAGGATGGTTTTGCACTATTTACAATTATGTACTATCTCATGTATTCGGTTCTGATGTTTGTTTATTGACCCATATACCTGAGATATACTTTATAAGGTACCTTCTGCGAAATTTGTCTATTTGGCCTTTCAATTAAAGAATAATGTCAAAATAAAGTAATAGGCAATGAATATAAGCTTGATGATTTTCTTCAGGAGGAACTGTATGACCTCATTCTGGAGGTTAACAATGAGTGCGTAAAGCTCTGCAAACCTGGTATAAGCATTCAGCAAATACACCACCATTCGGTATGGTTTGATAAAGCTCCTATTTTTCTACTGTTTTCTATGCATGTAAGTTGCTCCATGAAGGTACCACTCTGTGTGGTTGCTTTGTATCATGGGGCATCCTTATATGTGTGCACCATGTATTTACTCAATGCTGTGTGAGTTGCATGTATCTTCCTGATGAATGATGGAGATGAACTGTTGGTCTTCTGATGGACAATGGTGACTAAGCGTGGACCTGTGGTTGAACTCTACTGTCCTCCAGGGAAGATGGGTAGAGATTGATATGCACACAATAAATGTTCTTATCCTACTTAATATTATTCATGTAGCATGAGATTCATAGTTCAAAAAGTTTGAAGCCTTCAATGAGTTTTGATTATGTTAATATTAATAAGGAGCTTTATGGTCAAAGACTTTAGTAATACTCGTGTTTTGACTGTAAATCTTTGCTTTTCTACTCACTTTGGTTTAAATAATTTGGTGAAGGTTTGGAGATTTGTCTTCTGATATATATGTATGTCATCATAGAAATTTCTGTGGCATCAAGAAGAATCAACAGAAAGGACACAAAGTTCATAATTAGAACACAGGATATGTGCAAGAAAAGGAGTCAAATATCAAGAGGCTCTAAAATTTAAACAAGACCCTTACTATTGGATAATGTCAATGTGCAATTATTCTTTATTTGGCAATAAGAATATGAAAGACACAACAGACCCTCCATTGCAAATACAGCAACTTAAAGGGCTTGTGAAATATGGTACTAAGTGAATAGAATGGTGTGAATCCTGTTGTGGCCTCACTGCTTAATGAGGGAAGCTACATATACTTTGAATGCACTCCAAGCATACGGTGGAGACAAACATGTTAGGAGCATTCCAAGGATTAAGTATTGTATTCTCTTGGACTCAGAGGCCATGCTCGTCTGTGAAGCAAATGGAAAAAGGAAGGTATACCATAACCCAATGGACTATGGTGTGGTTTACTCAATAGGATCCACTGTCATTTCCTGCTGAGAGACAGTGGGGGTTTAACCATAATGGGTCCACTGACATTCACCCAGTTACGGTTAATGTCCTCCTTCCATCATCAGGAACCAATGGACGATGACTGTTTGGAGTACAATGTATCATCATTTATTTGCTTATTGTAAACCTATTCACTAAAGTTACAACAACCTTCTCAACTATTATGTCTTAATATATTGAACGTTTTATGTATCACACCCTGCTTGCTCAAATACAGGTCATATTGCTACAACGAGGGTTTAAAGAGCTTGGAATTTTGAAGGGTGGTCCAAGTCTTATGCGGTGTTACCATCAGTTAAATCCAACTGCAATAGGTCAGGGTTCACTCTGTTACAAGATGAGATCTCTAGTGTTTTCAACTAGTGAAAAACTACTGATACTGCAACTTTAGAGTATGATTGTATGATAGTTTATGTTTTCAACTAGTGAGAAACTACTGATACAGTAACTTTAGAGTATGCTTGTATGATAGTTTTATCATATTCAAAGATTGATAATTTTTTATAAGAGTCAAATATTAATATTTTTACTTTCATCAAGCAGCTCATTACCTAGGAATGGATGTTCATGACTGTTCCACTTTAAGCAATGACCGTCCATTGCAGCCTGGAGTGGTAAGGTTCTATTGCTCTCTTAGTTAAGACATTTGCTCTTTCATCTCTATAAGCTGTTTAAATTATATGCTAATTTAGTGCTTTCAACTTTGCATGATGATGCTCACTGCAATTTAGGTCATAACCATTGAGCCAGGAGTTTACATCCCATCTACATCTAGTGTAACAACAAGGTATCTGCTGAAATTTGGTGTTTGGACTTCTATTCTCTTCCTTGGTTCACGCCTCTTCAATCACATTTACCCATTGGTCATCCCAACAGATTCCGAGGAATCGGCATCAGGATAGAAGATGAAGTCCTGATTACAGAAACAGGGCATGAGGTAATAGAAATGGACTCTCTCTCTCTCTCTCTCCCGTTCCATAACTTTACGATTATTTATGCTGTGCATCTAAATTAGGTGCTCACTGGATCATTGCCTAAGGAAACGCATCAACTCAAGTCCTTAATGAATTATGGCCAGAACTCAGCCATGGAAGACCATAACAGAAGCTTGCTGTCAGTAGGTTTTCCATCATAATCATTAATTAATATTATTTTAGTTTCAACGTTTTGATAGATTGGGTCAGAAAACCAACAATATCACCCTCATTGATTTGTATTTTATTCATCCTGGTCTCTATTTTTCAAATAATTTCAGAAATTTTGACTTCTATTAGATTTAATGGACACCTGTCATCTTTGCGTGATTTTTCCCCATTTTGTAGCAGTAGCACATGGAGTGAGCACATACTATGTCAAATTACTGGTATTTAGGGAATTAACTTTTTTTGGAGCACCTTTCTCTTTAAGGAAAGTACATTGGAATCCTAATATATGGTCACAAGTGTGTAACCACTGCCCAACTAGGAATGAACAGAGTAGAGAGTGGGTGTAAAATTGAATCAGTCATTTACTGGTGGTTTCAACTCTTTTCACCATCCATTACATCGATTGACAGTGATGAGACTGATGACTGTCGATTTCATAGTCGCAGATAATATCTGAGTCTCAGATTATGTCTCTCTTTGCTGCTGCTAGTCAGATAAATTTAAGTGTTAAAAGGAAAGAATGATATGTGGGTCCCTTATAGAGAAGGTCACCTCTGTTTTGCGTTCTCAACCATGAGATTGGTATCAGTATTTCCTGCCAAATCATTTTAATGAAGAAAAGAACTCTTGTTGAAAGAGGTTAGTCTTTCCAGGGAAGTCGCTGTTAGCAAAAGCTACATTCTGCATTGGGAAAATTATGTATATATCTGTTTTATTTTCCGTTATTATTAAAATATCTAAAACTTGCTGTTATTACTCATATGTCCATAGTTTTGGACTTCATAACAATTTTTTTAAAAAAGATTGAATTGCCCATTTTCGGTTTTTTGAAAGTCTAAATGGCCTTGATTTTGGTTTTTGAAAAGCCAAAAATGGCTCCAGCTACCCTAACTTTTCGGTCTGTACTCTTGCTCTCTGTAATTTTCTTTCTTTCCTCTCACAAGAAATCTGTGCTATTTTTTCTCTTTCCTCTCTCATCCTCCTGCCCAGTTGTAATTTTCTTTCTTTCCTCTCACAAGAAATCTGTGCTATTTTTTCTCTTTCCTCTCATCCTCCTGCCCAGTTGCGCTTCCCGCACTCTACTCTGAAACTTGCCTATTTTCGTCATCTCTATCTGTCTCGGGTTTCTCTCTCTAAGCTCACTTCCACATCTTTTGGCTCATTGACTTTCGGTCTGTATTTTCTCTCTTGGCGTTTCTTTGGAGCTCCCATCTTTTACTTATTGGTAGTTTTTGCCCTCTCTGTCTAGATTCACCATTTTCACCCGTCTTGGATCTTTATACTTTTCTTCTTGTGCATTTCTAGTTTCCTCTCTCTAACTCTGGAACTACCTATCTTCCCCCTCTTTCTAGTTTTTCTTTTTGGGTTATCATATATTCCAAGGCTGTGAGGAAAGGGAGCTTCTTGTGCATTTCTAGTTTCCTCTCTCTAATTCTGGAACTACCTATCTTTCCCCTCTTCCTAGTTTTTCTTATTGGGTCATCATATTTGGCCATGGCTGTGAGGAAAGGGAGCAAGCTTCCGCAAACTACTGGCCTCAAATAGATCCTGAAATGGTGCTCGTCGAGCTTGGGGAGAAAACAGAGGCTTGATTCTGATGAAATTTCAGGAGAATTTGGTTTTTATGGAGATATTCTAAAGGGATATTTCCCGGTTTATGTTGGAGAGAAGCACATTTGCTTTGTGGCTCCAATTTCTTGCTTAAGCGATCCTCAGTTTCAGTCACTTTAGCAAAGAGCAGAAGATGGAAATGGTTTTTCGCTCTCTGACCTCTTCCATCCTCAGATGAGAGAGAGAGAGATTGTTCCTTTTTTCATGTGATTTTGGCTGGAGGCCCCCCGAGGGCAGGTGGTAGCCACCGTACATTTTTATTGCAGCTTGAGATGGTGCGGAGTGGTGATGCAGTTCTCCATGGAAGAACATTGGACAAACGAGTTTTTCCTCAAGATTTTTGTAATATATTATATGAGCAATGGTCTTATGAGATATTCCCACATCCATGCGTTTAAAACTTAAAAGGATCATCATTAAATTTGGTACAGATTTTTAAATTTGTGAAGGTGTAATTTTTTTCTGTAAAACCTAAAAAGATCATCATTAAATTTGGCACAGATTTCAAAATTTGTGATTGTGTTATTTTTTCTCTTTAAATTTTGTGAATCTATAGAATTTTCTCTCTAAATTTTTGTGAATCTATAGGATTTTTTGTGAGAGAGGTAAAAGAGGAAAATTTGCAAGGAGAAGAGAGAGGAGCCCCAAAAGTTTGCGGTGAGAGAGTAGGGTTCAAAGGGATTAAACGGACATTGCCTAATTTTGGTTTTTTAAAAACTGAAGTTGGTCCGATTTCGGTTTTTCAAAAACAAAAAATGAGTAGTTTTGTCTTTTTAAACAAAATTTGTTACAAAGTTCAAAAAATGAACATGAACGTAATAAAGGAAAATATTAGGTATTTTGATAATAACATAAAATATTACGTATTTTGATAATAACATAAAATAAAATGGATATCGACGTAATTTTCCGTTGAATCTTGGTGGGCAAGTTATTTGGAGGCTTTCCATGTCTTTTAAATATGACGACCAAATGGCCTTCTCTCTCAAAAGACTATTCAGAGCATCTCTCTTCTCTCTATCCCGGCCGTCGTTGGAATCAAACGAAGGAAGGTCAAAGGACTATTCGAGTCATTAAGGGAATGAGTTATCTCTTAAAAATTTATTTTTAAGATGGATTTTTTGAATTAATTTTTTAAGGACATGTAATCTCTAATATGGAGATCATGAATATGAAAATTAAATAAATTTTGAAAATTAAAAATAACAATTTTATTAAAAAAATATTTGGTAATTTCAATTGTTTTTAGATGAACCACCTATTTACATCTTATCTTTTAAGATGGATGCTTATATCTTGGGACCGCATATTGTAAAAATGTGGTCCAGACAATTTTGGTTCATTAAGGGGCATAGATCTGAACCTATTTGTTCGGTGAATCACAAAATGGACGGTGGGGCAGCTATGGACGGGTCGAGACCTCCCGGCGTCGATTATTTTGCATAGTCCGTGGGCCAGCCGCAGGCAGCAGAGCTGCGGGGCATTGGACGCTCTGTCCATCTAAGATTTCTATTATTAGTTTGTTGGCATTGAGCTAGAGGAGATCTTTCAGATCACACATCCAAACCAGCTTAATAAACATAGAAGGCATCACGCTCTCTTTCTTCAGTTTTTCCACGTCCAAATGCTCAGAACAAACAATGAAAGAGAGGAAACAAAAGGATGGCATAAAGGCGCATGTTCAAACATCATGAAACTTCAATAAGTAACCAAAGGAAAAAAAAAAAAATCACAAATATACCTTAATTTTCATCTATTTAGAAGAAAAGAAAATCAACTTTTATAAACCCCATCAACACTTCTTCTTTTTTTTAATTTTGATCGTTTTGTGACCAAGATAATCTTCACGGTAGTAGTATTACCTTAATAATTTAAATTAATATTACAGCACTTTAAGTACCGTAAAACCTAAACCATATTATAACATCACGGTGCTTAAAGTACCATGATGAAGACCCACATCTTATTTGAACAGTGAGGTGCCTCGAGCATCTACTGACCGTGGCAATTTCTGAAACTTCCATTCTTTGGGAGTGACAATAGCTGCTCCAACTTGTAAATTTCTGCAACATCCCGATATTTGGCTGACACCCAATGCTCATAAATACCAACCGAAGATTTTCAGCACCTGAATCAGGCCTTTTTTATTTGCAAGAAAGGCATTTGTTTGCTGGTTCTTGGCCTTTGGAGAGAGAGAGAGAGGGGCTGAGAGAAACAGAAGTGAGAGGCATATGAGAATGGTTAAGAGAGAGAGATTGGGACATAAGAGAATTGTTTAGAGAGAGAGATTGAGGCTGAGAATGATCTGATAATAGTTTAATAGTTTAGACTGAGATATTGGGGCTGAGAATGAGGGGAGAATGGAAGGTTGGAGGACATGAGCCAGATGGGTTTTTTTTAAAAAGAGAGAGAGAGGGGTAGTTGAGGGAGGGGAATGCAATGGGTAGCTTTCATCTGAAGTTTGGGAGAATGTTCTGCTGAGATTTTATAATTTGAACGAGGCTGGAAAAAAGGGGTAGAGAGAGGGTTATCGATGTGAAAAGAGAGTCACCGGTGGGTCGAGGAAGAGAGGTATGAGGAGATGTACAGGACAAATAAGGCAAATTTCTTAGAGGAAAGAAAAATCACCATACATTTGGAAGAGAGAAGGCCCTCCCTCCTTTCTGGTTCTTTTTCACGCGTCCGTCTTGTCAGAATCCAGCGAAAACGGGACAAAACGCCTCATCGTCCTGTATTCAAGAATCTCTTTTTTGGCTTTAGGTTTTACGGTATTTAAAAGTACCATGATATTAATTTTAGTTATTGCAGTACTTTAAATACCGTATAAAATGTGATAATTATTACGATAGTATGACTACCGTGATAGGTATTTTGATCACAAAATACCTAAAGTTGAAGAAAAAAGATGTGGATAAGATTTATGAAATTTGAAAGTTTTTTTTTCTAAATAGACGAAAAATTATCGGCGCTAATACATTACCCAAAAGAGCACAACATATAGAGATACCACAGCAATGGGAGAAATGGATTACACTGCAAGAATAGCCTCACTTTCTCTAAACCAGCACAAAATGCAGAATTAGCCTCTCTCTCTCTAAACAAGCCCAAAGTGGATAAAAAATACAGGAATAGCCCATTCACCCTCCCCGTCCCCCCCTTTTCTCTCTCTCTACCATTGCTTCTTGCCCTTCTTCTTCTTCTTGCCAGAATTCTTGTTACATTTACCAGAATTACCATTACTGCCCATGGGGCCAGGGCTGTCAGAGGGGGTGTCAGCACCCTCAAACATGCCAGACCGGACCGCATTTTGTAACCATTCAAAGAAGGCTTCCTCAGTCATGTTTTCATCCAAGCCATCTTTGGGCATGGGACCACCAGGCCTGTGAGCTGTTCCCCCTCCTACTTTAGAAGCATGCTTTGAGACCATGCTAGTGTTTACATGGAAGCTTGGCTTGTGAGTGTTGGATGGGCATCTCATTCCCTGCATGACACCATAAAGCAATCGATGAGCTGCACAAGTAGAGAAAAGTCCAAATCTCCCTCTCAAAGACAACTGGGTCTCTCTCTCTCTCTCTCTGCCCCTCCTGGCAGGTGTGCCATAGTTCAACACACACCTGCACGGGCACTGAAGGACACATCACACCCCCCGCCCCCCCTCTCTCTATCAATGTCAAATATTTTGCTGCAATAGATAAGTAATATTAAACTGGTTGAAAGAATTGCAAGGTACCTCTCCATTTTCAAATGAAGGGAAAAAAAGAGTTTGCCTACCATTTTAGCATTATTGCACAACAAAGAGGATGTTTTCATGTTTCTCCATGAAAAAAAAAACATATGTTGATAGATAAATAAGCACAAAGAACACCAGGAGATCAGGTTTGTCAAGGTGAGCCTCTTATGTTTGGTTCCTAAAGGCAGTTCTGCTGAAATGTTAATGTACATAGCAGAAACATTGGGTTACAATTTATGTACTAGATACATGAATTTCTGGGAGAACCAGTTCCGAGTTTTTGAATAGAGAATCTTAGAGAATTTCCATTTTCTTTTCTGCTCCCTTCAAAATGAGCATTAATGCCACTGAGCCAAATACTTGCAGACTGAAAAACTGAGTAAATAATTTCCAGCATTGCATGGTTTTCAATCACTGGACAAGATGGATTATGGAAAGTAAGTCAAATCATTGATGATGAATTACTCAAGGGGATAGGTAATACCTGACAAATGAACCAATCAGTGGCATTATATATCCGGCTTTCAGCACAGACATATGCATAGGGTGTGTCCACCTACAAAGCAAAGCACATCAAATTATTAGCTAGTTTCTGATACAAGTCAAATGAAAGTTCTGTTAGAAATAATACAGTTGGTTATCACATAAATGGGAGAATATGCCAAGAGGTGAATACACAATGCAAAACCAAACTGCATAATCAGCATATAAGAAACTAATCAGGAGATGAACATCAATGTGACTAATACTTTTTTTTTTTTGGGGGTAGCTCAGTTGTAGGAATTGAATTTGGACTAATACTATCAAAATAAGAGCATAAGTGACAATAATCTAGAGATGAATTCCAATATGACTAGATGCTATCATTAAGAGAACCTCAAAGCACCACTTAGCAATACTACCTTCTGCAACAATCCAAAGAAGAAGGAATGACCAGATTGCTCGATCCACCCATCACCATCTTTTGCTTGATGGTAGTCTTTGCAATCCTAAAAAAACAAAAAAAAAGAATCATAAAGCTCACAAGTGGAAATTTAATCATGTATTTCCTATTGATGTTCATTAGGGAAAGTATATAGTAAACAGATGGATTATGGTATACAATACTTCAAATGGGCATCCTGCATCCATTCCTAATGGCCAGAAGTGGGAATTAAACATTATGGGCCCCTCTGGGACATCCACCCCACTACACTTAATCTCCCTGTTTGCATCGTGAAGGATGGTAGATACCTCTTTGAAGCCTTGTATATAATACAGGTACACTCCCAGTTCATTAGTGCCTAAACAAGCACCCAAATCAATCATCATCCACAAGTGCAAAGGTAATAAAAAGGAAACCTGGCACCATCGGGCCCGAGACTTTGAACGGTCAGTGTGGACCCATAAGTGGAAGTTATTGCATTTTTTGCAAGCTATCCTTTTTGAATCACCATTAGGTTCCTCCTCATCAACCTCTGAATGAGAGAAGCCAGGTCCAAAGAAACCTTGCCTTCCTTTCTGGAGAAGTAATGGAAATTTGGAAACCAAATCAACTCCAGACCATATTACATGAGAAACAGAGAAAGGATACTGTAATTCAATGGAGTGGCAAAACCAATAGTACATTGGCTCATCACCATCCAATGAAATGATGGATGTCCATGGACAGAGAGTTAGGGCCCACCATTCGGGTCATGGGATCTATCCATCACCATCCACCACTTCAACTGACAGTGATGACTCAATGGATTGTGGTTTTTCTATAAAGTATTTTTTCTCCACAAAAATAGGAGGAAAAAGAAACACACCCTCTGAGAAGCACTCTGGAATCTACGGATGTAGTTGAGAAGTTCCTCCCTCCTCAATTCATCATCATATGACTTTCTCTTCAAAGAATCCAGTAATACCTGAAATTGATTCCAAGTTATGTGAAGGTTCATGAATAATGATTCCAGATGTAAACATTCATAACAATGATCAACTGGAAGAACCAACTTGAGTTAAATAAAACCTCATAAGCATTTTGAAGCTTCTTGAAGGCTTCTGCCGCTTTTTCATTGCCCATATTTTTGTCAGGATGGACCAGCATTGCCTAGTCAAAGAAACCATTAAAATATTAGAACATGACAATTTCCTCAACCACTGGATTTACAAGCATATGTAACAGAGCCATTCATAAGAAGAGAAACATACTTTTTTCCTATACTCTCGCTTAAGAGATTGAACATCAATGTTTTCGAAACGAGATAGGCCCAATGCCGCATAGTGGTCAGCACAATTCAATAATCGTACAACTTCCTCTTCCGATGTCAATTCTGTTTCTGAAGAAGCACCACTGGTTGAAGGAAATCCTTGGTCTGTGGATCTCGCAGTGGCGGTTTGAAACCCTGGATCAGAGGAACCAGAATGGAGAGGCTCACCAAAGAAGGCACCTGGCCTTCCTTGAGTCTCATCAGTTGCACCCCTTGATTCACGCTCATTTATATTGTTCTTTAGAAAGTAAATCAAAACATCACTGGATATGAAAGACAAGTTTATCCCCAGGAAAAGCCCAAGCCACCCAACATATAATTTTGCAGAGTAAATTGCATATAATGTGGTAATCAGGAGAGCGATGCGTTCTTGGTTCAACAAAAAAGCGACCCCTGCAAATTCATTGGGCAACAGATAAGTAGCACACTTTGAAATAAAGCAAGGGAAGTGTACTTTCATCCAATGGACTACAGAAAACTAAGTACATTGGCATCATCACCATTCAAGAAAATGATGGGTGGTGATGTAGAGAAAGTGGGACCCACCATTATGGCTACATCCTATACTTCTGTCCCACATGCTCCATCACTGAACATTTCATTGGATGGTGATGACCCCAACAGTGCATGATTTTTCCAATGGTCACTGGATTACAGTGTATGTCCTAACAAAATATTAATTGTTTCTAAGATGAAGAAAGGCCAACTTTAGAGAAATGGGTAAAGAATAAACCTCCAACCAAGATCACAAGACCCGTAATCCAAAAGCTGCCATACATCCATAGAAACACTAGAGCCAAAAAGGCAACTATTACAATTGCAAGGGAGAAGCCAAGTAAGATGGTTGCCATGCCAGTTGTGGCCTGAACAACAAGACATAAGTTAGAAAATGTAACTTTCCAAATAATTAATAACTGAAAATATTGTATGCCCTCATAGAAGCACAATGTACATTTACTTCCCTATGGTAAAAAACTAGCTGGGAGTATTTGCGAGACCGATGTGACCTACTCAACCTGACAACCAACCCAATAAATAAATAAATAAAGAATACTCACCCTGGATCAGCCTTAAAAAATTCACACCCTTGGAGTGTAAGCAGATGGTCCAAAAATTGGACAGTAATCTAGGTGTCTAGGTACTCAAAAACCTTTTTTTCTCTCTCTGAGGTACTCATCTGTTGATTCTAAAGTGGATCCCAAAATTTCTGATCAAAAACAAAAAATAAAAAAATAAATCCTCTGGAGTAGGTCATTTGCCGGAGGAGTAAACGGATTTTTTGCTCTAACAGAAGCACAGTACACAATAAATAAAATAAATGAGTAAATATCATACTTTAACACCTAGAAAATAAGAGATTTCACATGAGACCTTCCCTCTTTCTTCCTATCAAATGTTCTTATATCTTGGATTTAGTTGTCATGGACCCCTCCCGTATGCCTCCTCACATTTTCACATGTTCCCCCTTCAAATTTTTGTTTCCACTCATAGGTTCTCTCTCAAACGCTCCCAATTATCTCCCTTCTCCCTCTCATTGTCACAAACTCTCTCTCTCTCTCTCTCTCTCAAGTTACAAAAAAGGTAAACAGTTCATGGTCCCACGTTTCTCAAGGTTTTCTACCATCATTGTGAGGACTAAAACATCATGAATAATCTTCGCTTTAACTAAGAAAAACGTTTCCAAAAGTCGTCTTTTGACTAATTATTGAGGAGAAATACATTTATGATATTCCAATGAAAAATTACAACTTTTTGACAAAATTTTTGGGTAAACATAAAGGTGAAAACAAAACTTCCTTCACCGGCACAAAGCCAACATGCCAACTCTTGAAAAATAATAAGACGCAAGAGCAATAATTGTACAGCCCAAATATTGACATTTGAATAGAAAATGAGATAAGCATACCAAAGAGATAATGGCGGTCCACATGCATGGAGATCCCTATGTACTAAGACCACCATTGAAATTACGGTTTGCATATGGTGAACAAGGCATCAGATAACAATTTTTTTGGGTATTACAAAATAAAAATTGAGCCTACCATTTCATAAAAATCACCACTACGAAAACACTCTGCTTCTCTGATAAAAAGGTTCCTCGTAAATCAATAAATATACCAAATGTATTTGCGACAAAGCAGGAACACTTGCCCAAGATAGTATAGAGCAGTTAGGGACAAGCCTGAATGGCTTTTGTATCAATGCATAACATACCATACAGATTTCTCGAATAATACCCATTATAGAGAGAAAGAGGGAAACTTAGAATAAAAATTTCGAAAGATAAACACCGATGTATAAGAACAAAAAAAGCACAGAAAAAAAACATAAATCAGTAGGTAATAAAAAAACACACAAAAGAAGTACAAATATAAGGCTGATTTTCCATATATCAGACAACAATGGAAAAATTAGAAAATATTGAGAAAAACTATGCAAAATTCTGATGAAGAGAGAGAAAGAGAGAGAGCATACGGCATTTCTTGCAAAAGGATAAAATGGCTGACAAATCTACATGCGTTCTTTGTAGAGAGAGAAGTGGGGGAGAGGTGAGAGAGAGAGAGAGAGAGAGAGAGAATGGGGAGAGCTTGAGAAAGAGAATGTTCAGGTGGAAATAAAAAATTTTGGGGGGGCATAATATGGGAGAAACATGTGTCAAAATGGGAAGAGGGATATGGCAGGGGGTCCAGGAAACCCAAACCCAAAAAGTAACACCGCTTGATAGGAAAAGAAAAGGGAGGGTTCCATTTGAAATCCCTTTATTTTTGGGGGTTATGTATGATAGTTTCCCTACATAAATTAACAAAAAAAGCATCAGCAAATAAATAATGGCATTAACAAGACAGACTACAGGCATGACAGTGCATGGTTCAGTATGATAAACAACAAATTCAAATACCCACATACACAAAAGAATTACAAACACATGGGGACTCCAAGTTGCACCACTCGAATAGTGAGCTTAAATAACCCACACTCCTAAATTAGTGACCATAAACTACCCATATATCATTAATAATTACTTAATCAATATTTTATTTCAAAATTTTCGAATGAGTATATATTTAAAATCACTCTAAAAAAACTCAAACCTGATTTCAATAAGATTCTAGAGTTTTTTTGCACCGTTGTGTTTTGAAGGGGTTTTCAATTGATGGGATACACCCTTCCTTTGTAAGATGATAAAGTCAACCATGCTTAGAGTCATCATCATCGTCAAAGCCTTTTTCCAACTAATTGGGGTCGGCTACACGAATCCTGGTCTGCTATTCTGCTCTATTAAGGGTCATACCCTCAGTGAGGCCATAAGGCCCCATATCTTTTTTCACTACTTCCAATGATGTCCTTTTGGATCTACCCTTTGCCTTTTTAGAACCTTCCACTTGAACTCAATTGCACATTCTAACAAATGTTGTATAGGGCTTGCATCACACACACATGGCCAGCTCACCTAAGTCTAATCTCTCTCATCTTATTGCCTATTGATGAATTTTCACAAATGTATTCATTTCAAGTTCTATCCCTTTTTGTTTTGCCACTCATCCATCTCAACATCTTCATCTCCGCTGCACTCATTCTATAGGCATATTGTTTTCTGACCACCCAACATTCTGCCCCATAAAACAAAGTTGGTCTCACAGCTGTCCTATAGAACTTACACTTCAGTTGCATTGGTAAGTATTGGTATGCGGCGATCACATAAAATTCCAGTTGCACATCTCCACTTCGCCCACCCAGCTCTAATTCTATGTGCGACATCTTCCTCAATCTTTCTATTTTCCTGAATTATCGACCCAAGGTATCAAAAGTGCACTTTTTTTGGTAATTGTTAGCCAATAATCTTAACTATTTCCTCGTCTCTACTCCTTATTACTAAATTTGCATTATGTATACTCTATCTTAGTCTCGCTAATTTTAAAACTTTTAGATTCTAGAGCATCTCTCCAAAGTTCTAACTTTGCGTTGAGGCCGTTCCGCATCTCATCAATCAGAACTATGTCATCTACGAGCAACGTGCACCACAGTACCTCATATTGTAGGTGCCTAATTAAGTTGTCCATAACTAAAACAAAGCGGTATGGACTCAATGCTGACCCCTGAAGTAGACCTATTGTCACTAAAAACTCACTCGTCTCTCCACTAGTTGTTCGTACACTAGTTAAAGCTCCATAGTACATATCTCTCACTAAGTTGATGTAGTGTTTGGGTAATTTTACTTTTATTTTAATCATGAGTAGGATTTCATAAGCCCACATTACGTTCTAGAAAAACCCATGTGTGCGTGTGTCAAAAGATAACTACTAGAATATTGAACTCATACTATCCAAGGCCATGCATCATGGTAATCTCAACACCCATTTCAATATCAACGCAAACAAAGTTTTCTTTCTATTAAAAGGTATTTTTTTTATAAATTGTACTACTGGTACAAAGTGACTATTCAAATGTTTATCATGATTAAAAGGCATGTATTCATCCATACTTCTTCCATAAAGTAATAAAGCATTTCATTAAATTGGAAAAAGGAAATTGAAAACTAAAAGTAAAAAGCCTACAAAACCAAGCCATCGGAACATCTATATAACCAACAATGACAAAGGAAGGAAAAAATAATGCCCCAGAGCATAAAAAACCTGGCAAACTTTCCCCCGTCAAATGGCGCAGGTCAAGGTGGATGTGTACCTCTTCTAGCCTATCCACAAAAATTGTTGGAGAGCAAATCTTATCATAGTTGAAGGTATTTGCAGAGAAGAATCTATTATTCCATAATTCCATATTACTTTTGATTATTTTTTTTTCTCTTTTGATAAAGATGTACTTTTGAAATATTTATTGTGGGAACAAGTTGTTAACCAAAAGATATAAGTCGAGAATAAAAGTTTCCAAAAGTAAGTTCTCTGATTAATCCCAGAAAGTTTATTCTAAAACATAAAAGAGAAAAATTCCAAGATGCGAACTCCAAATAGAGGCCTAAAACATGGAATGTAAACCAAAGACCTGAGTTAGATAACTTATCCAAGAGAATACTGCTGCCACTTGTCACCCTTTCTTTCTTTCTCTACAACAGAAAGCCTATGGCTCGCTTTCAAATTCAATCGTGCTACCAGAGTTACAAAAAATGGATCTTTTCATCTTAATCTAATAAAGGAATCAAATGCTACACACATAAAACCGCAGCTTCATCAAGTCTTGAATCCCACATGCTGAACTACAGAACCAACAAAATTAATATGCTCAATCAGTAACTAGCAACAGCCTTTCCTGCAGAGCTGTTTACCATGAGATTATCATTTCCACAAGAAATTCATAGCTCTTGCTTGAAAGCAACTTAGAACCATCATCCCCCATGTAAACATCACCGAAAAACTATTCAAATTTAACTTATCGCGTCCAAACAATACCATAACTACTTAGGAGGAACCAACTTGCAAATCAGTCTGTAATTCAACGAGGGATCGTGGATGAGCTAGTCCAAAAGTCTAAACCTAGGCTCTAGTCTAAACTCTAAAGCCTAAACCTAGGCTAAGTCCCTAAAGTTTGAAAAGGAAATGTTAAAGAATTGGGCTGAGTGGTAAGTATTTGATGGATATGTGATTGTGCATTCTGATATTGATTGAGGCATGTGTTTGGAGTTTGAACCAATTATAGAGTTCTGTTCACTCGCTTCAGTGAGAATACTTTCTTGGGTTCTGCAGCAAATCAACAGTATCAACCATAAGAAAAAAAATAAAAAATACTCGAATTAATAGCAAAATGGCAAACGGAAAGTGAGAAAAACGATCATCCCTCTCAAGCCCCCAGAACTCTTAGAAAAAGGTATTTTCTATTCCCTATGAACTAAGGTAGTAGGTTGTTTTGTGCTCTTATATCAAACTTAGCTAGTTTTAATAGCAAAGTATATGACTCCTTGAATGAAGGTTGAGAAAAATTAGTTTCCTCTACGCATTTATATAGTTGTGAGCATCATCTACAACATAACACATGATCATCAAAGATTGGCATCATGCTCCCTTTCAACGATTACATAGCAAAAGCAAAACTTTAAAGTCACAACTTCACAATATATTATACGTCTGAGTTCACTTTGTGTTTGTTTACTGTGGACCAAAACAACGCCCCGAATGATACGACTTGTCATTACCCTACCAAATTTTACTGAATTCAAAAGATCAAGATTCTCTAGATGAGGAAAGTAAACTTTCTAGTTAATGAAATGAATACAGAAAAGACAGTCCACCAGTAAATAGAACTTACCACCATTATAAGAAATTTAGAAGTCCCTATCATTGCAGTAACTGAAAGAATGCTGCACCAGATCACAGTAAAGAAAGATGTTGTACCCAAACGAAACAATGAATCAAACCCCCTAAGACTGCAGTCCAGCCAAACCAGGGATAGTAGCAGCACTGTCTTCCCAAATTGATGAAGCCACCTCCAAATAATTGGGTAAGCATACTTGGTCTTTGCGATTATACAATCACAAACATTTGATACCATGTTCCTTAAAGTGGTGAGCCTCGGATTCTGTTTTTTAAGCCATTCCCTGACTATTTCTAAAACAGACAATGCCGAAGTTCCCAAACTCCTAGAACCCACATCATCTAAAGATCCTGAACTTGCCATCTTCTCTTGAACTCCATTTTGTAAGCACCCAGACGGATTTCTTGAATATTCAGAATCCTTATCTATTGACATAGGTTCAACCTCTCCAAACTCAGAAGACCCATATGCAAATCTATCTCCATTTTCTCTTTGTTCTTGTGAAAAAGTCGCATGTCCATTGGTTGATTTTGTATTCATTTCAGAGCTTTCTTTGTGAACTACATTTTCTGATTTTACAATGTTTTTCCTACCATCTTTTGAATAATTGGTTTTCTTTGACTGACCTCTAGATGGACTGCTTTTCTTGCATTGGTCACTAGGTTTCTTCTGCTTTGATGGAACAGCTTCTGACTCTGAAACCGGAACCTTATGGGCAGTACCTTTTCGAGCCATGTGACTGGAAATTGATGAAATACAGATCGGAGCTATTTCTCATTAACTCCACATTTTCAGAATACAAAGATGTTACCAATCCATTTACAGAGAAAATAATCTGCACCTATTAGCCAGTTGGGAAGCTTATAGCACACCTGAAATAGCGATTAGAATGAAAGCATTATTGACATGTTGACATCTAAATGAGATTTTGACATTCCATATCCAGTTTTAAAACTTTATGGTGTGCAATCAATTGATGATATATTTCAACATAAAACCACAAAATTGCATGGCAAACAATTATATGAAGAGCATGTCACATGGAGAAAAAGTAAATTAGAAAAATACATATAGAGTACCAAGATGGGTCTGGTTTCTAAGCTCTAATTCCTAAAATACCTAACCAATTCATGAAGAACATACAAAACGTTGTTCTATAAACCACAAAAAATATACTGTCACTCCTAAGGTTATAACGATTTTGGTAGTGAAGATGATAGAAAGCAGACAAGGAAAAAGGCAAAGAGAAGAGATGTACAATGGATCCTGTTTGTGGCTTATCTTTTTCTAGGGTAAGTACTATAAAGAAAAGGATGTAGAAGTTTTAACAGATATAGCTATGACTTTGCATCACAAGCAAAAGAACCGGTATGGTAAAGCTATCTAAGATTCTACATTGTCATTGTCCAAGCCAAAGAAAAAAAATAAAAATGCATTCTTCAATATTGTGAAGAGGCATGAATCCAATGCCTGCCTAGATAGATGGTACTCGTAAAATTTTCTTGAATGCTGTTTGAAATGGATCAAGTTCCTTACTTGAGATCTGGATTCAACATAATTCATTGACAAGGTTCTTATTTGATTGTGTAATTGAATTTTTTGATAGAATAGCATGTACAATAAACAAGGCTTCTTTAATTAAATTCCCAAATTTACTTTTATAATGCGTTCCTTTCTTTCTGAGTGATACTAATTTGATCAAACATCATAACAACAATCAACTAGCATCAGCAATATTCCACTAGATATCCCAAACAGGATTTATAGATTTCAGTTTCACATCATGATGAGAAGCTCTTAAAGATAACAGATGCACTAAAATTCGAATAACGAAAGATATAATTGGTTCGAGCATTTGAGGAGAATAAAGAGAGCTATCACAAAATGCAATCTTCAACGTTTTATTGAGGATGACAGTAGTTGCTAAAAAAAGAGCATCTAATGGCACCATACTAGATCCACGACATTATAATAGCATAAATAATAATTTAATTTGGAGTTAGATGAACAATCAATCAGGTGTTTCTCTTGTTCTGTGTCCACAAAAAATAAGTGTTAAATTTGCTGACTCGAAGCATTATTCTTCATTAATCATTAGTGGAAAAGGAGAAATTGACATTGCTCTTCTTCAAGAGCTATCTGTTTCGTATTATATGTCGCAAAGATAAGCGACAAGAATTGTCATAAAACTTAAGGAAATTTCTACATATGTTCTATTAGATGATTCAGACGATGTTTAGAAAGAGAGAGAGGGGGAGCAGTGTGTCCAGGGCGCCAAAGCAGGAAATGAACCCAGGACCATAACGCACATGAACCACACGCCACCATGATGGCCGATTAAGCCATCAAATCATTCAGACAATGTTGCTCGATGAATCCTAATAAATATCTTTAACAAAGAGCGTAGGATCAAAAGCACAAGGAAGAGGAAGCACACCTCTTGTATATGTGACATGGTATCAAAATGGTATCAAAGTGAACCCAATGAAGATAGTTTTCTCTAACAAGCTCTAAGGAAGTAGCATGTGAACTATGATTCAGTATAAATGGCTATATTTGACTGCGGATGCCACTTGAATGTGAAAGCATAATAGTACAAGTTGAATCCTCAACAGTAGATAATAAGAAGACCTTTCGGTTTCTTGAGCATCGGTCCTCACCAAAATTCTATAATGTTTTGTAGTAGGTTCCTGAATAGTTTTGTTGTATAATAACACCAACGAATTTCTGTAAAGAAAGATCCTACCCAAACGTCAACACTGACAATCTTTTCTTTTTCCTGAAAGTTTATCAACACTGACAATCTTTTCTTTTTCCTGAAAGTTTATCAACACTGCCAATCTCCGAGGTTCGCTAGTGCAAAAAGCAAATGGCGTTCGGTATTAAGAAGAATCTTGAGCACACTAATCCTTTAGTAATGTGAATGCCAACCCAAAGCACATGAAAAGCCATAACATAGCAAGTAATTTCACAAAGGCCTTTCTATTGAGGAGATTTTCACCCCAAAACATAAACCCAATGACAAATACACAGATCAAGAAATTTAAATGAAGAAATAGAGAATTTCTAAGCTTTTTCTATATCTGGTTTACTTGATCCTCCATGTGTTAATTAAAAAAAAAAGTAATTATTTGGTGATTCGCTCCCAAGAAAAGTAAGTCAAAGCCCACAGTTGAAAAACCCAAGGCATACAAACCCCACCCTTAACACAAACTAGGTCAAAAATCCCATTGGAGCCATTAAACAGAAAACATACATTAAATATCAAAATTCAGTTCATGTAATAGCAGATTATCCTCGATTTAAAAGTAAATAACCAAATATAGCTGCAATAATACAGCAATACAATGCAAGGCACGACCAAATAAAAATAAGGCAAAAAAACTTCAGTCAAGATGCAAGCATATGCAACATTTCAAGGTATCTAAAATTGCTAGTAAGATATTGCAAAAACCATCAACAAACACCCAAGAAAATAAAGAACGTAACACAAATACACCGAAAAGAAATTGAATATATCAATGGCAAAATACTCACTCTGATGAATTGGGCTAGAGAAGAATCAAAACCCTATCTAGTATGGTAATCTCATAAAAAAGGCATAAACCACCGAAACTAGAAAAATGCATTGAGCAAATTTAAACCCTGGATCTCCAAATTGCTCACTAAGACCTCATACAAAATGAAACTCAAGAAAATCAATGACCTAAAACAAGAAACCGATGAAAATGGCGACATGGAAAGGGACCTTGCCAGAAAAGACAGTGAGGAGAGAGGAAATTGTGAAAAACAATGAAAGAGAGAGAGAGAGAAGATGGTCAGAGACGGTACAAGCCAAGCAACGAGTATGAGAGAGAAAGAGGCGTGAAAGTACCTGGAATCAAGAGACATGCATGCAGTCTGAGTTAGAAACCGGAGGCTCCAAGAGAGAGAGAGAGAGAGAGAGAGAGAGAGAGAGAG